CAATATTGATCCTTTGATGCTCGCACAGTACCTGGCCTATACCTAGTATTAGCAATGGATCAAATGGGTTATGTTGGTAGTACGAGTACCTAGCGGCAGAGCTTGGAAGCCATGGAAGGCTGTATGTCCTCGTAGTAGCACTGGAGCTGGTTCTTTCTCGTACAAGCGCAGTTGTGCATCAAATTTGTTCCATGTCAATGGATGTTACTACCTGAGTATGTAAACAGGCCGGCGCCGACGAGCAAAAGGCCACAGGTACCTGTACTTGCGCGGCCAGGCGGGCGCAACTACGGGTTGCACTGGTTCCTGCACCAGGAACCAAACAAGCACAGAACAACAATGGCGTGGGCCACCTGTGCAGCAGCTCTGGGCACGCCGCTTCGTCAGACTCGGGGGATACGAAGCACTAAAAATCGGCGCCTCCCCCCTTCGACCTCGACATGACCCTCATGTTTTGACTGAAACCAAGAGGCTAAAAGGAGTTGAGACTGCGCATTCGATCAATCAATCAGACGGCCTCACGTACGGTAAGGTACTATAGTTGACGGCGACGCCTTGTTCATTTTGGGCACATTCAGGTATCATCTACCTTAGTAACTTTGAAGTTATTGCAGTACGAGTGCTCCGTACAGCGGTACTACCTAAGTGCAGAGACCGTGCCGGGCTTGAATCCCCGGACGGGCGTCTCAACTTCCGGACCGCCTAGCTTCAACTGTATTATTTCAATTTCCATCCATCATCAGCCAGTACGGCTCTGTCAATGTTATGTAGCATCCATCAATTTGCCCACTTGGACAAGCATTGCGCCGTACAAGTACATACTTGGACATGCCTTGTTGGGTTCGGTACGGCTCCAGCCTAGCTGGGACTCCGAGCTTGCCCACCGCACCGCACCGCACCGTGCTCCGCTCGCGTTTGATGCCACATTGGATGGATGCAATTTACTGTACATTGGATTGGATGCAGGTAGAGTACCAGGTACACGTGCAGCAGCATGGATGGATCAAGCACTGCAATTTGACAACATGAATGCAATGTCGCCTCAACTCCTCACCTCGCATGGCATGGCATCGCATGGCATCGCATCGCCCCCATGCCCTCGCTCGCTGTCGCCTCCAAACATTACTGGCTTTTCCAGAGAGAAAAACAAGATTGACAGCAAAAGAAGCAGCAATGCCAGTAATACTCATACTCCGTACTGTACCTATCATTTTAGTACTATATTTCCCACCCCTGACACTCACCACAAACCAAGTACACATACACACATGCCTTGCTGGGCTAGGCAGCCCCCTCGGCCGCTTTTGCTTTAGACAAGGTCGCGTCGATGCACAAAACAAGCACCAGCCAGACGCGACTGATTGGGTCGCTCCCCGACTCGCGACCGCATTAAACCCACTGCGACTAGGTACGATAGCCAGGGGCCATCGACCAGGGCCGCAGATGACTGCAAAGTAGCGCGACCTTGGGCTCGTACTGTCCCGCTACTCGTACGTCCAATGCCGCAACCTCGCCTTTGGCCGGATGCAGGACGAGCTGCCAAGCCAGGAAAAGAAGGCGTCGTCTTTTCTTTTTTTTTTCTTTTTTTTTTCTTCTGACGCCGCTTCGGTCAAGGCTTCTCTCTGTCGGCGTCTCTCATTTGCGAGAGCCTCCGGCTGGTATGATTCTTGATTCCCCCCTCCCCCCACGGCTGAGATCGACATCTAGCAGCGCCAGATCCGACCTCGCGCAGCATCCGAAATATCCAGCAAGGCTAGCTGTCCTCGTTGTACCGGTACATCCCCGACCTCCAGACGAGCCGCCGACCCAATACGATACGACAATCCGCCTCTCTGGCCACTCCCCTCGCTGCATTGTCCCATCATACTTGTAAGCAACCCATGCAGCAGATTTCTTGCAAAAGCCCGTGGACATGATTCAATTGGGTGACTGAAGTTGGCAGTGGCACCATCACGCCGGGCAAAAAGTGACCTGCCTCTTCGTAATGGCCGGCCAACGGCTTGAGCGATGCTGCCGTGCTCCAGGCGAGGCGGCAACTCCTACATACGAGTACATACAGGACTCGTACGTGCCATGATTGTGCATGTACGAGCACCGAGCTGCGAGAGGGAGCCTTCGGTTGGCTTCTGATGGATGGATCAACTTGACTATGCTCGTTCTTGGACACATCCAATCCAAATCCTAAGGGTCTACGGAGTACGGAGTACGGAACACAAGGCCTTGCAACTACCCCAAGCCTTCTTCCCATGCCTCGAGAAAGAGGCACAAATCTCCACGAACAAGCACGGGGATCGACAAGCACTAATCCTGGTGCTCTATCGCTTCTCCATGTTTTTGCTCTTGCGCCCACGGATCGTGGATGCTACGGCAAAACTTGTATACGGAACGGCCACAGCACAGGTGCGTGGGTCGTCTATCCTGGAGCACCACCAGCCCACACCTTCATGGCGCTATTTCATGCAGTAGTCCCAGGTGAGGCAATATGCCCGGCGGGATGCATCTGGTTGGCTTTTTGTGTATATGCACGGAATGCTCGAGGAGAACGCAAAGCAGCGCCGTACTCGGATCAAGAGGGCATTTTACAATGCCATGCAGCGAGCCGCAAGTGCTGAAGAAAAGACTGCATGATTCTCCCACGCAGCTGAGCCAATTTCCACGCGCTTACAGAGTGATTGCTCGGAGATTACGGGCCCCGGCAACGAGGATATGTGCAAAATTGCTCCAGTCCTACTCATTTTACCGCCGGCCAGGGAGAAAAGCTCTGTCGCTTCCACCCATATGATCAAAGTTTGTTTCGGGCAGCGCAGCCTCCAAGGATCTAAGCTTTCAACGCTTCCTCACTTTGGCACGAGTTGCGAAAAATCGTAAAACTACTAGACTACAGTCTACTACCTAGTATCCAGGGAGAAAGAAGGACGAAGCCGGACAAACAAATGACGTAACAAGGATGGGAAACCCACACGGAAACCTTAATGCAGTGCGCCATGGAGTAGCATCCCATGCGACAATTATCGTATTCGCAGAGGGCAAGTGGTTGTCTCCAGAATGTTCTGGCCTGTAGAAGCATCTGGTAGGAGATGGTCTTGGGTTCATGTGATGTGATTCTCGGACGTAAAGAATCGAGACCCTCCCACTCCACCGCAGATTGAGGCCCACGTCGGTTATTTTTAGGCCGTTCCAATAGTTCGGGATCTCTCACGGGTTACGAAGCCATGGCGCAAGAAAATCTCTATCCTCACCGAAGCAGAAGCCTCCTAGGTACGGAGCTGCTCCGTATGTACAATCTTGCGGATCCGTTCCCGGCTGGCTGCGAAGTGGTGGTGTTACGCAACGCCTTGCCCGCCTCCAATATCAAAGCACACACACATACCTACATAGGCATACGTGTGCGCATTCCCAATGGCTTGCCAGTATCGTAACAGCTTCCCAGATACATTACACAGCGTAGAGGTATGGAAGGACTGGAGTCATTCAAACCCCGTGATGTTTGATATCATATACTACAGATAGAGGAAGATGGCCACAACAGGGGATAATACTACTCGAAGAGCTAGGTGCATCTCGTAATGATACACACTTCATACTGTGATCTGGAATGCTGGATAGTCAGGTCGGGTGCTGGCTATTAGCCACTCCCTTCTTTTTCCGAAGGGGGTGGCGCCTTGCTCACACTCTACTCGATTTATTTGTAAGAGGCTTGTTATCATTGAAGACGACGACTCAGGGAGCACAAGTACGCGTACCTAGCCCATTGGATGTGATATACCGGCTCTATCATGTCATGCCAATCCCTCAACTAAGGTACTACGGAGTACAACTACCAGCAGCCCGAAAGCGAGCCTTTTTTTTCTTTCTTTCTTTTTTTTTTCTCTTTTAAGTCTCCTCACAACCCCGTCATGGTCACCATCTCAAATTTGAGACGGGCCGTTGCCTTGTGGGCGCCACGCCGATCATACAACTATAAATTTTTCAAACATTTGATTCTGCCACTGGGGGGAGCCGTGGATGCAACCGGCCCTGATTGTCTGTTCGCGGTAGTCTCAATCTATGTACTTGGACGCGGGGCTAGTTGAGGGGAGAATCTGCTCAGCTACTGTGTGGACGCCAAGATCTCGCAGCCTACAGTATGATTGATTGCTTGCGGCAATGATTGGCTATTGTCATGTTTGAACAAGCTTTTTCATAGCTGCCACGTACGAGTAGAACTACCTCTGTACATGCGTGCAATAGTAGACATGTACTAAGTACTAAGGTACATACATATAATTTGATGTTTAATCAATCTCACGGTGCGGGTAGACCAAGCTTAGTAACTCGGTGTCTCCAGAGCTGGAAACGCCTTTGTTCGTCAAAAGCTCCACTGTCGCATCCCTTGCCTTATTTCATCTTTGCTCATCTTATTTCAGTTGAACGATGGTAGTATTAGAAACGCCAGGCTTGAGTCGTTCGACTTTTGTCTTAAGAACGGGCATAACCTAGAGCCCCCATCCTGGTAACCTAATTAGTACTAGCATCCATCAACCGGTTGATTACTTAGTACTAGTAGTAGGAAGTTGATTAGCCTCAAAAGATGGACTCCAAGTAGTTGGAGGAAGGACAGGACACTAACAAAGACCACTTGTGCTAACGGCCAAATTCAGCTCAATCCTCCGGGTCAATGTCGCCAGGCAGACGTGCACAGCGTCTTGTATCAATGATCCTCATCGTCAACAACCGCCCGTCATCATACTTGTACGGGTACAAGCCTCTGTGAAACACCAGAAAACGCCAGGGCACTTGGATGCATGATATCCCAACGAAACATTGAAACTGTCGTCTCGAGGTCGCGATAGCGTCAAGCACATGGGTCCAAAGGCAGCATAACGCCTTTCGCTCCATCCCGTTCCCGATGGCTCCTTGCCTTGCCAAGAAACACGCCCAACGGCTCGAGTCTTTCCGATAGCTCAACGTGCGACAAGCCCGTACGAGTACGGGCACGACACACAAAAGGCTCCGTCGCCATGGTCGGAGTTCCGCGCAGCAGCGGCTGTCAGCTCTGCAGACAGAGAAGGGTCAAGTGCGACGAGGCCAGGCCAGAGTGCGGCAACTGTCGCAAGTACGGCACTGGGTGCCCGGGCTACGAGCGAGCCATCAAGTTCGTGTCTGGCAAGCACACGATCCGGAGCAAGGGTTCTCGACCGCTGCAAACCAGCAATCAGAAGACCACTGGTGCTGCCTCGTCGGAAGCCTCGCCATCCACCACCTCGACTCTGTCTGCCGCCGCCACGACGCCTGAAAGTATTGGCGGCGGCGGCGGCACAAGTGGTACTACTGCTGCTGCTGCTGTCGTGGCCACGTCCCTAGTGGCGTCTCTTCAGCCCAATCGAGCCCTCTTTATTGGCACTCTGATGGACATGGCCCAGACTAGGCTGGCCTCCAAGGATGTATCTACGTTCTTGGGCTTCTTTGGACGCCTCAAGTTTGACGAGTTTGGCACGGCGGCGGCTCTGGATGGTGCCATTTGTTCGCTCTCTCTGCATCTTATGGGCAAGGAGCTGGCGGATGACAGCCTCGTCGCCCGGAGCAGGACCGTGTATGGATGGTCCCTTGGTGCTCTCCAGGTGACATTGAGACATCCTACTAAGTGGAAGACGTCCGAAACCTTCTGCTCGGCCGTCTTACTATGCTTCTTTGAGGTATGTCTGTAACAATATGCGGTGATATACCACAGCCCAGCTTCTTCTATCCTTCTTCCAACCAGTATGACCGAGCCTTGCTGACGTAGAAAAACAGCTGTTTGCGGGCACAAGCTCACCAGAGACCTGGCTGCAGCATGCTCAGGGAATTGCCACACTGATGGAGCAACGTGGTCCTGCAGCTCATGCGCAGGGCAACGACGCAGCTATACTGTTTTCTTTCCGAGGCATCTTGGTAGGCATACTCCCATTACCCACTCCCTTTTCATCTACCCCGATGCCATTGGTGATCGTGATGGTCTTTGTTTGTACTTTTTCTGGGGCACCGAAGCTGTCTGATCCTGCGTCTTCGGAGTGGAAGCGTTGAACAATGGACGAGGGCGTTCAATGCGCCCCCAAAGTCTGCAAAAGCTGTACCCAAGCCCAGTGGCTAGCTGAGAAGCGACATACCGCTTGAAGGAATAAGACGCTCCTTTGCTCCGACACACCACCTAAGTGAAGCCCGAATAGCTAACGCATCCTACTTCTTTCGTCCCTTTTTCCCGATTTAGATAATGAGCTCCCTATTCTTTCCAACGAGCGACAAATGCTTCTTGGCTCAGCCAGAATGGAGGAAGGTGATTTATGACGGCCCAGGGCAGTCGATTTACGCCCCCGAAGCGCCAGGATTTTCGATGCAAGTAGTCAATTCGTTTTTCGTGTGCCTGGCAGACATGCCCGAGGTTATGTGGTGGGGATACCCGGTCCGCCAGGCTCTCCTGGCCGGCAGACGAGTGAGTCCCAAGCGCATACAGCGCGTTGCCGAGGTGGCAGCCGCAAACCATGAGCGGTTCGCCGCGTGGTACGAGGACTTCAAGAAGCTCGGCGTCGAGCTGAAGGAGGTGCCGTCCAAGGACCCCAGCTCGCCGTACCAGGTGGTGTTGGAGCATCCCGTGGGATGGCTTGGGTCCATGCACATGGGCTACTGGGCCAGCATGCTGGTTCTGCAGGAGCTCCTGATTCAATGTGAGTGGCCCGTGGATTATCGGGACTCCCAAAAGGAACTGGTGCAAAACATTCTTCGATCCATCGAGAGCGTGGGGAGCGGCATCATGGGGCCCTTCCGCCTGGGTTACTCGATCAGAATCGTGTATGAGTTTGTGAGCGTTGAGACGCAGCGATGGATCATTTCGCTGCTGGACAAGTTTTCCAAGAGATATGCGGCCACGGACAAGAACAGCTACCCGAGTCCACGTGTGGACGCGCAAGGGTATTCATGAGACGGTGAGAGGCTGGACCCTGTTTCTCTTTCTCTCTCCCTGTTGAGAAAAGGAAGCTTTCGGGGCCCTGCTGCCAAGTTTCTCACATGTCGGCGCCCACCTGATTGGGAAGAAAAACGGGTGGAGAGGGGAAGCTCTAGGGTGTTTTGGGTATTAATTTTCTTGTGGACGATTGGGATGCAAGGTACGTGTAAAAAAGCGAGAGACAGCTGAGCTCACCGATAGATGGTGTGAATGACCAGCTATCGACATACAGTTACGGGGGAAGATTTGTGCTTGACGGTCATGCCATGCCTTGCTCTTATTACGAATACTACCCAGATCTGGTGATTTTAGGTTGCAGAGATGGCTTCACTTGATTGGTGACAGACGTGATACTCGTAAGCCGCCACGTTGATGATCCCGTGTGGTCTCGTAAAGAAAAAAAGGTGGTGGCATTATTAGTAGTAGTATCTAAGATATAAATAGCAAGCCACATAAGACGTGTCTCTTTTTTTTTTTTACTTCTTTCCCGTTGCCAAAGTATTATAGGGTGATGGTAGTAAAATAGTTCGTATCATTAAGCCATATCGTATAACGTCCAGGTGTTGCACCGATCCAGCCAGCACTGTAAGTCGTGTGATAAGAATAAGAAGAAAAGTGAAAGGGGTGAAGATGAAGTAAAAAGGAGCCAATTTAGCTTTTTTGGTGTTCAACGTGCTGTCCCACTTTCACATGGGATTCAGCGCTGTCAAATCCATTCAAAGCTTGTTCGGCGAGTGGCTTGTTTCAGTTGCTCGAGGCTTGCTTTTTTTTCTTCCACAGAAAAGTACGGGCGAGACCTGACAGGGAGGGGCCGCCGAAGAGCAGCTGGTCGGTGTGACGGCCACAGGTGGTGTGGACGTTGACAGTGGGTGAGGACTTGAGGAAGCCAAAGGAGGTCCTGCGCGAGGGGGAGGAGATGGATTGAGGGCTTGTGGCGGCGCTGGAACTTGTTCCGACTCTCTGTTTGTGGGTTTTGTATTAGTATTGACTTGTGGCTTGTGGCTTTTGCTTGTTTTGTTTTTTTAATAGAAAATGGTATGGATGGATAGTGAGCATGTCATGATAAGCTAGCTACATACCTTTGATGGAGAGAAAATCGGCGAATCCAGGGAGTCGCGAGAGTATTCAGGGACATCGAAGGAAGCGTCCAGTTCCAACGGGGGAGGGCGGGTGGCACGAGATGAGCGAGCCATAGCGAACGTGTGGTTTCTTTCTTTTCGTTATTTCGTTACAAGACGTGAATTCTATTTCTATTCCGGGGCGCGGCTCTCTGCTCCGTCCGACAACAAGAAGGCTTGCTTCTTGACAGCTTGCTCTTAGAAAAGATAGTAATGACCCGTGCCGTCAAGGCAGCTGAGCTCTGCACGCCGGGTGCGAAAAACAAAAAAAGAGACGAGAGTAAAAGGTCGAGGTGTACTCAAATCATCGACTGATACGTTGGATGGGAACAACGAGATGGGAGGAAAGGAAGGGGAAGACGGGAATAAATAGCCACGACTGCTATTCCTGGGCACAAAGGAGGGAGTGTGTTATTCATTTGCGATGCGCATAACTCGCAGACTGGGCGTGGCGGCTGACCGAATCCGTGTCAGGCCGCAGATGCAGCCGGCCAAGACGCTGCAGTGCGACCACCAGGCCGGCATTCCATTCGCGTGGAGCATCAGGAGCCATCGTGTCGGTAAAACCATCAAATGGCGACTATTGACGGCCTGGGCCAATCAAGGCCATCACATGATGGGGGAGCCCGCGATAAGGCAGCAGGGCCAAAAACCTGGAATCGGTGACGGGCAAAGGAGAGGTAGCAAGGGAAGCTGGCGTCATGGCGGGGACCCTGTCCGGCTCGACCTCGAACCTGATGGCTTTTTGCTAGTGTCGATCGCAAGGAATCGCTTCCCAGACAGAGTTTAGTAGCCGGTCAGGGTGAAGGGAAGCGTGCCAGTCCAGCATGAGCAGGTAGGCCTAGCAACCTAGGTAGGCATCCGACAATGGGCTCCAGTCAGCCCTTGGCAACATATCATGGCATGACGAACCCCCTTTGTCCCTGTTGTGTCTCTCTTTGTTTCTTCTCCAGGGTCCGACCCAACGCCGAGAACAAGGAAGCGGGCAACATGCTGAAGCCGAATAACTCGCACTCGCACCGATATGGAAAACTCAATAACGGGCCCTTCCGACAGCCTACATGTGCTAGCGGTCGTTAGTGAGCAGTCCTCGTAGTTAGTCTTTCATCGTATTGCCAAGCCAGGCATCAAACTCTCCTCTATCCCATGTACCCGCATCACGGAACGGCTGTCGGCTGGCCACTCCAGCCGTCGCTAGCACCCAGTCAGCTCGGGGGCCAGAAAAATGTGACCTGGGAGAACCGAGCGATGGAATGGCCCTAGCTGCCCCTTTACTGCCGCTCTCGTCGTAGCACGGGCTAGTCGTAGTCGTAATGTGCTGTCATGGCGGCGTGAGCTGAGCCAGCAAGGGCCAATGGCTTCCAAGCACGGCAACGGTCATCTTGTCCGTTGCTTCTTGGCTGTTGGGAATGCAGTCATGCTGCCCGCTCTGGACCACAACATGAGTCACGCCTCTGGAGGAAAGAGAGAGACATTTCCCACTTTTCCACTTGATGTGAAACGAGCGAATGGTGCTGCAGAGGAGCGTCTTGAGAATCTGCTTGGACGATGCAGGAGGAGGAGAAACGGCTAGAGCGATGCAAATCTAGGACTGGGCTGCATGATGCTGACGTTTGATGTGCTTGCTTCAAAAGTTGATGTGGCCTAATAAGTCCTACGGTAGGGCGATGCGACAGAATCCTTCAAACATCAAGAGGTGCATGTGAATTGCCTACCCTAGACCCGAGCACACAAAGTCCAAATTCAGGCACCAAGGCATCAACTCTTGCGTTCCACGATGTGCCTGTCCACCTGACTTTATTAGGCGTGGGGTTCTAAGGACAAGTAGCAGTGGCAGCAGTTCTTCATCAGCCCTACGGCAAGACTAGAAGGCTTGAGCCGCATCAGGGGGATGGATCAGTGCCGAAGACAGATCGAAGAATCTGGGGAAGCTGGAAATTAAATCGATCAATGCCAATTTTCATTGTCAACATGGATAAACCATTGTTGCCATGAGTAGTGAAATGGTGTTGAGTCGGCGGATTGGCAAAATGTTGCGCTTGATTCATCTTTGCGTCGTGGCAACAACATTTGGCATTGAATTCACCTTTCCTTCACAATGCACGCGGCAATCCCAACCGTATTCAACGCGCCTTCACTCTCGCCAGCATCTCGTTTGAAGCCCTGGTTGCACATCGTCATTCATGGGCCGCTTTTGTGGCCTTGAATAGCGGGCCCTGGGTTGGGCAACAGGCTTCACAATAGGCTGTAGACTCTAGAATAGGTGCAGTGGCTGTGGTAGAGTGCACTGGAAGGTTAAAAAAAAAAAAAAGCTCGGGCCACTCACAGCCCGGCTCGTGCCTGCGTGGCTGCACGTGAGGAGACACCTCCGTTTTTTTTTGGCCTCAGCGCTAATAGCTCTCGCGACGCGCGAAGTCTCGTTACAAGTATCCAGTTCGATTTGCGACCACTGCCGCACTTCTATTGCTTCGTGCTCGCCAAAACGCTCAACGCGACATCCTCGAAACGCACAGATCCAGACGGTCCTTGCGTGCATAGCTGTAGCTGCTCTGGCCCTCTGCCGCCGTCGGCCCTGTTCATGATTAGTGTGTCATTGCGCGATTCCATGCACGCCTTATATATCCACCGTGCGGCACCATCCAGGTCATAGGTCAGTCCCTCAACCCAGCCACTGGAGGCATGGAATGCGCCGCCCGGCATCAAGAGCAATTCCTGACTCGTATTTGATAGCTTAGGGGTTGTCGGCCGTCATCAATAACTGCCCGCACACACGCAATTCATCCATCAATCCCCCATCATTTACGTTGGCCTAGTTCCCTTGAACGTCACCCCGAACCGCCGCAGAATCCGATACAATGGTTAGCAAGAGGAAGCGAACTCTCGAGGAGTTCGATCCTAATAAATCGGATCCGGAAGATGAAAATTTCGACCCGGTAGAGGCACGACCTAGCCGAAGCTCCAAGAAAACTCGCCAGTCCAGAAATCTGAAACCAGGACAGAAGAGGACCAACCGTTATCGCGGTTCTGACATTGACGATGACGAAGACCAGTTATCCGATAGCGAAGAAGACTCTTTTGCTGAGGGCACCGAGGAATCGGATGAAGAAGCGCCCAGGAATGCGGCCGGGCGGCGGGCCAGGAAAGTGGCAGTCAAACAGCAAAATTATAAGGAGAGCAGCGAAGACGAGGATGAGGAAGTTGGAGAAAAAGAAGAGGAAGGGGATCCCGATGAGTTAGACGATGTTCCCCTCAAGCCATCGAAGCGGGAAGCTTCAAGGATGGTCAAGCTCAAGGTCTCTCGTACGGCCTTGGCCCAGACGCGTAGGACTCGGGCAAACACTGAAGATGCTGAAGAGTTTATGGAGCTGTCCACTTCCGGCCGACACGCTGTTCCATCTCGAGAATCACAAAGCAAAAGCCCCGAGGCTGCTGCACGAAATATCAGGGCCACCCGCGCTGCCAAGGGGGTGAAGAAAGCCCCCGAGCCAATTTTGGAGGCTTCCCATGAGAGTAGCTTCCCAGAGAAAGTGGACGCCGACGAACCCGATGAGCTCTCGCAACATTCGCCAAATCATGAGAAGCTGGAAGAAATTGATTCTGATATGCCGGATGCTGTTAAGGAGGCCAACGAGGACGAAGAGGCCCCAGCGGACAATTCCGCTGCAGTGAAGCAGGACGAGGTCGATGATGACGAGGATGACGATGACGTACCCACCACTCGGAGGACCAGAAGCTCTCGAGCTGCTGCTGCGGCTTCTACAGAGGATGCCGTCGAAACCACCGAGGCCGTTGACGCTGAGGCTGCAGCCGACGAAGGGTCGGATGCCGGTGGTGCTCGCCGCTCTCGCCGGCTAGCGAGAGGCACCAAAAAATCCACTCAAGAACCTAGTAGCGACTTTGAGCCTGGTGATGATTCCGACGACGCTGAAATCTCCGATAAAGAGAAAAACGGGAATCAACACGATGTTATAGACAGCCCAACGCCTCGAGGGAGACCAACCCGATCCCGCGGCCGTACCTCTCGCCGCCGGAACTCGTCCGCTGATGAGGAGCCTGATTTCGACTTGGATGAGCTCAACGAAGAAGCCCGCGAGCTGAGACGCTCATCTAGGCCGCATAGAAAGGCCCGGACAGAGTCCCCCATTGTCTACCAGGAAGGCTCCCGTAAGCGAAATAAGGTGAACTATTACATGCCTCCATTGACTGCAGTCAACATCGAAGAAGAAGCAGAAGATCCTGCACCTACTCCGGCCCGCAATCGTAGACGAGGCGGCGGTGGTGTTGGTTGGGATAGGAATCTCAACACCACATACGGTCCCTTTGGCGGCGGCGGCGATGTTGGGTCTCTGCTTGGCGGCCCATGGGGGACTGGCGCCACTGGCGGAGTCGACTCGGATAGCAGTGATGATGAGATGACACACAGATCCACTGCCGCAGGAAACGTTGGTATGACGCCGACGTCTGCAGTTCCAGCTGGTGGCCTCGTATCTGGTGGGCAGGGACATGGCGTCGATGCTACACCCAACGTCGGCAAGATCAAAGACCGCAAAGCGCTTGCCGATGCTGATCCTCTAGGTGTGGATCTAAACGTCGACTTCAGCAAGGTCGGTGGTTTGCAAGGCCACATCGATCAACTCAAGGAGATGGTTCAGCTGCCTCTGCTGTATCCTGAACTCTTCACGAGATTCCATGTTACACCGCCTCGCGGTGTCTTGTTCCATGGCCCACCGGGTACGGGTAAAACGCTGCTCGCTCGTGCCCTAGCTAATTCGGTTGGCGCTGGCGGCAAGAAGATCTCATTCTATATGCGCAAGGGTGCTGATGCGCTCAGCAAATGGGTTGGCGAGGCTGAAAAGCAACTTCGCTTGCTCTTTGAGGAAGCGAGGAAGACCCAGCCCAGCATCATCTTCTTTGATGAGATTGACGGACTGGCGCCGGTCAGATCGAGCAAGCAAGAACAAATCCATGCCTCTATTGTCTCGACCCTATTGGCCCTGATGGACGGCATGGATGGACGTGGACAAGTCATCGTCATCGGTGCCACCAACCGACCGGATAACATTGACCCTGCTCTTCGACGACCCGGACGATTTGATAGAGAATTCTACTTTCCTCTTCCCGACCTCGAGGGGCGTCGTTCCATCCTTAACATCCACACGCAAGACTGGGGCCTGTCGGATGACTTCATGCGGTCCCTGGCCGAAAACACCAAGGGCTATGGTGGTGCTGATTTGAGAGCTCTCTGTACTGAAGCGTCACTCAACGCTATCCAACGAACATACCCACAGATTTACTCCTCTACAGAGAAACTGCTTGTCGACCCTGCCAAAATCTCGGTCCATGCCTCCGATTTCATGATCTCCATCAAGAAGCTGATACCTTCGTCGGAGCGTTCTGCGACGTCGGGAGCACGCCCCCTTCCAAACTCTATTGCGCCTCTGCTCCGTGAACAGTTTGACGAAGCCAAGCGGGCTCTTGATCTGCTCTTGCCTCAGAGAAAGAAGACGACTGCATTGGAAGAGGCCATGTATGAGCAATTCGAGGACGAAGATCACGGATTTGGACGTGAGACACTGAACCAAGAGTTTGAACGCTCTCGGGTCTTCCGGCCCCGATTTCTCATCTCAGGTGCTCATGGCATGGGCCAAGGCTATATCTCGTCTGCCATCCTCCATCACTTTGAAGGAATTCACGTACAGAACTTTGACCTTCCCGCCCTCCTCAATGACGGACGAGTAAGCCTCACCTATCCACCCCCC